TTTTAGTGATGGGCTCTTTTCTGGTTTTTTTTTTTTAATTACAAGACCTTTTCCTAACTTACCTCTCAAGAGAGCTGAAGACCACAGCTGCACAGACATATCTGGTATCTTGCTTGCAAGCTGCATGGCTGGCACTACCATATTATTGCTTTCCTGGTGAAGAGCAGATATCAAAAATAAAATGGCTATTTTTTTTTTCCCTCCCCCTTGCAAATTACATAGAGATGTTTAAATTGTGACCAGAAATTCATCTGCTTTAATTGCTGCCATGTTCTAGCTAAGAAGTGGAAGTGCTTAACGGGACGATAATCCAAATACATCATCTAAAGCTGTCTGGAATTTTGCTGTATCCTAGGAATTACGGTGTCTATGTTGTGCAAAACAGAACTATTTCACGCATCCTGGCATATGGTGAGAATTAAGGAGCTTGTACCCACAATTCCTCCCAAACAATCCAGTTGAACTAGGTGATTGTCCTTTATTCAGCTCCTTTTTTTTCCCTCAAGTGATTTCAGGCATTGTGGAAAGACAGACTTCCAGAACAGACTTCAGACACTACTGCTTCGTTAAAGCCTTACTAAACATGCAAATTACAGCTACAGAGGTATGCAAGTCAATAAGCTGCCAACTTCTAGCGGGATACCAATAAACAAGCATTCCTAAAATCAGATTAATTTCACTACGTCCCCATTTTCTTTGGCAAATAAGCCCAACGTTTACACGGCAATACCAGAGAGGTGAAGGCTTACCCTGTGATTCCCTAACACATAGAATATGTGACCCAGGAGGACGAGGGAGCACGCTGTTAATCGATTCAAGTCTTCCGCGTTTGACATTTTCAGTGTCTCTCGCAAAAATCGTCTACCAAAACAGAGCAAAAACCAAAGCGTTTTAAAAACTCCCCCCTCCAGTATGTAAGAAACATCATTAAGAACTGAATTAATCCATCTGGCAAATATTAGCGCTCAGGAATAAATGTGTGCTGTGGGTGACCTTAAACAAGGCGCTTAATTCCCAAACCTCACCTGTCATCTAGCCCAAATGACTGTAACGCAGCTTCTCCTTTGAAAAGCTTTTGTTTCGGATGCGCCACTGCAGAACACTGCACGAGTATTAACGCTGGCATTCAGAACTAAAAGATCTAACCCAAACAGTTTCAGGGTTATTGTCCCCTAAGTGAAAAACAGGTTGACAAAATCCACGGGGAGATCCTAGCGGGTCTGAAAGCAAGGCCTCAGGGGGTTCATTTTCTCTTAAACAGCTCGATTTATTCTCACCTGTTCCCCCCACTGCCCCCGTGCACCAGTTTGTACTCACTTTGCCTCGTTGTATCTTCCTTGGAAGAAGGAGAACAGGCCGCGGATGTAGAAAGCCGCCGCTCGAAGACAGTGAGAGCTACGGACAAAGCAACGCGTTGAAACGTGGGCATTGCGCCGTGATGAAACGCATTACAGGCACATTTCTAGGAATTTGCCTCATAATCAAATCTCCAAACAAAACATTATATTTACTGCGTGGTCAGAACTTCTGCCTTGAAAAGAAGTTGATTATTTTGTTTTCTTTTTAAAAAAGCCTGCTACAAATCCAGTATTACCATCACCAATGCAACATCAGCATGTAGATATTTTCTGGAATTCTCACCTCACAGGAAAATTATGGTCTGGATTTATCCTTTCCAATAAGCTGTAAAGCTACAAAGTGGGAGGGGAAAAGAAAGATAATCAGCGTTTCTCACATATACAGGCTTACAGTACTGACAAGCAAGTGTTTCTACAGGAAGCACACATCAAATCAAACCGGTGCCAGTCACCACAAACACACTCAAGTTTACTTGTACAGATCAGATCACAGCACAAACGTTCCAACATTAGGACTTTTCATGCCCATTTTGATCCTAAAAACCAAGTTTTATACAAAATATGCTTTCTCAGACTTTTAGAGAGCTTTCAATACAACGTTAGTATTTCCTCAGAGAACTTTTAGCTGTCGTATCCGAGCTGCTCAAGACCCCAGCCGTATCAGATTTGCTATTTAACTAAAACCAGAAATCAGCTAAGCAAAACAAAACAACAAAGGTCAACTTTTTAAAATCATTATTTTTGCTCCCTAAGCTTCTAAAGGAAGTGCTGCGTGCTTGGCGAAAAAGTTCATTTACAGCCTTGTCACGAGGAACCTGCAAGCACGTCTCCAAAAAGTTACTCCCGAGGAATCAGACACGTCACTGGAAGAGTGCGCGCAGATGGATTTTTGTGGTAACAGGGCTTCAGGCAAAGCACACACACATGCACCTACCCATTTCGGGATGTTTAGTTAAATCTTTCTAGGGTTTGTGTCATCTCATAAAGCCCCGATACAGATGGGAACTGAAGCAGACAGGTTGAGTGAGACGGAGTGAACCGCACGTTTCACACTGGGAAGCTTGCCCTCCCGGTGCTGTAGAGGATTCTGTGTACAACCCAGGGCTCTGCTTTGGTGATTTGCAGCTGGGCCAGCTGATAGCACCGGTTCTTTACCATTAACTGACACTGCCCTGATGGAGGAGTTGCCTGGCTGCCAGACAAGCCATGGCTTTGCAAAAACGCTTAGCAAAAAGAACAATCCAAGAACAGGAGCAGTTTTCCCTCCAACAAAGCTCTGACTTTAGAAGGAGTCAGAGACCAGCTTACCTCTTGATGCCGGTTGCCTTCCCTGATGTACACGCTGGCTAAGTTTGTCACAATAAATGCCCACAGCTCTTGATGTGTAGTGAGCTAAAATAAACAAGATACCGACAGCACAGTCAAATACTTCAGCATCTAACCCAGAATTTCCTCACCCCATACAAATCACAGATTTGAGGTCTGGTATTTTGCTATTAATAAATCCTCCTGAGCTGAACTGTGATCAGCAGAGAAATAAAATGAACCAGTGCAAGTAACACAGACGATCTCCAGATTTCCCTTCCAGCCTCAGCTGGTCGGTGACCCACACAACAATTGCAGCGAGCCCCTTTCCACACTGAACACCCACAGTAAATAGCTTGGGAAGGAAATCTTACCCTCAGTGCTGTCGTGAATTGTGCTTCTGCATTGTCCATGCAATTAACAGAAATGCAGTAGAGCCCCTGTAGAAGACACGGTATTTCTAAGGCAACACAGAACACAATTACCGCAAGCCGAGGACGCAAAGAAAAGCACAAAACCACGGAAATCTCAGGGTGTAAGCAGGAAAAAAGGTAACCAACAAGTCTTATGTTTGCTCTGGGAAAAACGAGCAACTTCTACACAAAGTCCTTCACAATGATATGTTCCTGTAAAAACCGCCCCATTTATCCAAGAAAAGCCTCTTAATTTCTTAAAATACTCAAACAGCATCGCTAGGTAAATTCTTCCCCTTGCACAGTTCCCACAACAAACCCTCTCAGGCGTGCGCAGTATAAACCTCGTGTATTCACCTCACTTGTTAGCTATCATGCTACACGTCACTTATTTTAAAAAGGGATTTAAGCTTCCGACAGGCTTAAATAACAGCGGGTGCGAGTCCCCACAGCAGGGCTGGCAATCGGTAAGGCAGACCCCATGACTCAGCGGGACAGCTCGCTGTCTGCCTCACTACGATCTCGTTAGTTACTGGTGACGAGTCTCGGGTACGGTCTTCCAAAGAGTCCAAAGTTTACTGCTAATCACAGACACTTACTAATAGCGTGTGCAGCTGGGCAGCATGATTAGAAAACAGTCTGGGAGACTGCTGGCAGAGCTGACAGACTTGTGAAATCTGTTGGGGAAAAAATAATATTTTAAGATACTTCTCCATTTCATTTTATGCTCTAAATCCATCCGCTTGCATCACGCCTGTCATTCGGTACGTTTCAGCCATTGGCTCAAGAATCCCAAGTCACGCTCCTAGGTAAAAGCGGAGGCTGGACCTGCCTGGAGCCAAGGTACACGCACAGCTCCACACCCCCCTCCCACACAGACGCGCACTCAAAACTAGGTTTGAATTATTTGCTTTGCGGCAGCTCCCCCATATGGGGGCACCACCTGCAAAGCAAGCCGCGGATCTCTCCTGACACGCTCAGAATTTGAGTTGGCACGCAACAGAAAAACTGGAATCAAAATCTTCCACGGGGTACGTGCTCGTGAGGAGTTTTATGAGCCAGAACCAATGACTATTCTTTAAGCAGGCTAAATCCCCCTCCACACACACCCCTCACCCCCCGAGTACGTTCCCGAGAAGGCTGACAGCAGAGGCTGTGATGATACAGCAGCACGCCCTATAAGTAAGGATGGATGAACCGGATTTAAAAACGACTGTGAGAATGGGAAAGAAAAGCACAGTTCTTTCTTGCATTCGAGACCACCATTGGCCTCTTCCTTTCCCCCAAACTATGCAAGAGGAAGAAAGGACAGAAAGGCAGGGAACCTCAAAAACTGAGAATTACTTGGCTAAGATGGGAATGATAAAAAGTTAAGAGCCACTCAGTCATAAATCTTAGGGAAAGGGAAAAGACACCAGGGTCAGACTGCACAGTATGACCAGGAAGGCATCAGCTGTAGCCACTGATCAATGATTTGTTGAGCAATAAAATATTTAAGAGGAGGCTAATTCCACAGCTTCAGAGTTGTGGTATCCTGAGCACCACTGGGCCTGACTGTATCTGTTCGTAGGTTACTACTCCTGGAATATCCATCTGAGCCCAAGTATCTTCCTCAAAACCAAAATTCCCGTATTTTAAAAGCTATCACTGCAGACATCCACGACTAAGGAAAGGACGAAACCCATTTTACCTCCTGCAATGCGGTGGCTTTGTGTCCCGTGACAAGCCGACACATGATAATATGTTCCAACAAAATAACTTGGAAAGATGACAAGATAGGACTGCAGTCCAGCACTGAAGAGGGAAAGTAATTCAGTGAGTGAAGTTAAGACACGATTAATACCCCAACCACACAGCCTGTCCCGCACCCAGCCAGCTTCCTCGGTTGCATGTGGTTCAGCAAGACTTCAGTACAGATTCCTCTGTGGAAACCTGATGTGATGCCTTTGGCTGGACTACCCTGTCAGAAGAGCCAGCATACTGCCCAGCTCCTCCTCCGTATGCCACAGGAAGGATGGCACAGGGTTAAAAACTGAACAAACCGCACCCCAAGACCCCACATCACCCCCCAAAACCACGACACCCTGAACCGTCAGGAGTGGGAGTCTGAGCACCAGTTAAGGAAATACTTCTTGGGAACACATGCTCCTTTTTGGTTACCCACGTTCTGGGTTCTCTGACACACGGACAATCAGAAAGGTGGCGGGAAAATAAGTGCGTGTAGTTGCAGCGCAATTTAGAGTTACAATAAGAAACCCCCAAAAACTCGATTTCTGTATTCAAAGTAACTATCCAGTTTTAAAACAGAGCAAAGACCTTGGATGCAGCAGAACCTGACTGCAGGCTGGCCCAGTCAGCTACAGAAGGCTGTTGTGGCTTCAGTTTGGTTTTTTTTTAATTTAAATTAGCAACAAGTAATGGAATCTTGCGGCATCAGCTAAATTATAATCCTTATCCTTACTTTTTAGCTTCTCTAGCTGCATGAGTGCTTTGTCTGTGTACTTCTGAGCCTTCTCCAGGTACCCCGCTTGCATGGAATGCATCACTGTCACCTGCCGGAAAGCACAGATTACCAAAAGTTACCTTTGCATAGAGGAAGGCTGGGAGTTCACATAACTCCTCAGCCGCCAGCTTTTTAAACTAAGTTTTGACATCGTTCAGGAGTATCACCATACTCAAGAAGTGGGGCAACTAATTTCAGAAACTTGAAGTCAAGATTGTCACTCTGTTGGTAAAAATAAGCCGACATAGCGCTACTTTGTATGAGTTAATCTGATTCTCCTTGGCTTGGATATTAATAAAGTTACATTCCAGTTTCCAGGCTTCGTGCACAGTCTCTTCAAACACTGACATCACTGAAAGCAAGAGTCTCACAGATGCTGTGGCAGAATTAAACTGTCAGCGTAATGTAAAGCAGCATATGGTCTGCAGAATCTATCGCTGCCGGCTCCGAGCAATTTTTAACCAATTCCTCATTAATTAGCAATATACGCAAAGTAAAAAAAAAAAAAAAAGAGGCTCTCACCAAGTAGACGAGCACACACATGTGTTCCTTGGGCAGCCAGTGAAAGAGATCAGCGGGGTTGCTGGGCAGGATTTCGTCATCGTGCAGCGTGGAGATGGTCTGGATGCACTGCTGAAGCTGTTTCAGGCACGGCTTCACGCTTTTCACCTGCGAAAGATGATTCACATCAGACATAGCTGCTGCAGCCCAGATGCTTGAACACTTACTTAAGTTGGGAAAACTTGCCAGGCAATAAATAATCTCCACATTCAGAAAATTAGTTCACGTATAAATCACAACACCAGCATGACAGGACAGTGACCGCCTCGGGCCTGTTCCAGGCTTAACAACAATCAGCCCCTCATATTTGCATATGCGACCAACAGACACTCAAGAGGTTTTTCACAATTATACACAAAGCCCGTTATCTCCACCAACGTCACATAGAAGCAAGAGCGGCTGCCATGGTTGTAAGTGTACCACAGTAAACCTTTCCTCGGGGAAGAAGAAATAAATGTCATTTCTTCGCTCATTTGTGATTAAAATCTACAGAAATTAAGTTCCGTTAACAAGAAGCACGGCACAGCAAAAAAAAAATCCCCCCCAAATCACCTCAGTGTAATGATTTGCTGGGTTTGAGGCAGCACTGTGCCCCCAGCTTCTCACCCCATGGGAACTGTAAGCAGCACAACTGGCACGTACCTGCCCCGCGTCCAGGTAATGCGTCACCTGCAGGACTAAGAAGAACACGCGTAACGACTCCTTCTGGATGGGGTTTCCTTGCCAGTTTTCAACTATCTGCCCGCAAAGGGTAAGGAGAGGGTGCACCTCCTGCAGCTTTCGTTCCATGAGAAGGAGCTGTAATTTAAAAGGAAAATTCATTATTTTTGTGCTAAATATTCACTCAAAGAACCACAGTAGAGCCCCAGGTATGTTGCTCTGTTACTTAAAACAAAACCAGGCTCAAAGACATCTTACTGCCAGAGCCCCAGCCTTTTCACAAGACCAGATTTTTCAACCCTAATTAGAAGGACTCCCGTGACAATTTGCAGTTATCCTTTTCCCTTCCAGAAAATTATTTGTCACAATTAATAAAGGAGGGGAAAAAGACAAATCTATCCACAAGAATTTCAAAAGGATCCCGCACACTTAAGGCTTATCCCAGGCACCTTTTAACACTGTGCTTGCTCACATGACTAAACCAGTATATAAAGCACAGATAAGCATGCAAGGTACCTTGAAACAAATAACCCATGTTCAGGCAGGTTACGTTCCACTGCTCTGTAACTCGCATTATACTAGTTAAACACAGAAATAGTTTATTTAAAAAGCACACCCGACTTACCATCCCTTTGCTTAGCAGAAACAGTGCTCTGAAATGAAACAAAATGATGTCACACTCAAAAAAGTTACCTAAACCACAAATGTATATAAAAACCCTGGAAAAAAAAAATATATATCTGCCATTCTCCCCCTCAAAGACAACAGACATAATGGATTAAGGAACCTGCCACAGAAAGCACATTTAAAAGGTTGCTGGAACAGTCCCACCATAGCACCAGGGATCAAAATCCCGGCCTCTCAGGTTTGTATCTAAGCTTTGGACTGTTCCAGTTACAATAGTTTCTATAAAGGCCAGAACAGGCTACTGGGAAAACTGGCTGATAAAGACAATAAACAAAATTCATTTTGAAAAAAGACTCCCCAGAGTCCAAGTGACCATTACTGGTTTTAACAGGAAAAGGGAAGAGCTGCAGAAACTCTCAGGTCTAAGAGAACACTCAGAAATATTGCTCTGCCTGTAAAACCCATGTGGCAATCACATCTCTAATCACAACTAGAATATCTCTAAATAAAACATAGAGGAAACCCAAGTGTTTTCTGTGGGAAGGGGAAAAGCTCTAAGGAACTCACCTGGTGTACTCTGACCCTACCACCCGAGCATACTCTGCTCCAACTCCGAGAAGGTCACACGCAGATACTAAGTCTTTTTCAAGTGTATGTAGTTGCTGAAATAAAAAAAGAAAAGGCCAAAAGAGATCAGCATTTTCTTTGTGAACTTCATTAGCAATGTTTTAAAAAGTAATTACTGCCGTGCTTTACACGTGACAAGTGCTAAACTGGTGCTTGTTAAATGTATCATCTGATTTTAGACTCATTTTCCAGGAACACCTGGCATTCTCAAGAAAAAAAAAAAAGTCTGTAACATTTCAAAGAAAATGTCTCAGCCCAGTTTTACACCAAGCAAAGCTGTTATAATTCATTAAAATCACGTGCAGGTTGGGTCCCAACAGCTCCAACATAACCACGGCCCGTTATGTTGGAGTAACTGGAACAACAGAGTGAGTTTTCCAGCAAGAAGAGCAGAGAAAATCTGCCAGGTGTTTCAGGTGACGGGGAGAGGATGACACAGCCACCAGAGCACCTCTCGCTCCCTGCCGACTTTTGTACCTTCTCCAAAGTCAGGTGGAAAGCCAGACAGTTATAGAAGAACAGGCACCAAGGCAATGAGACACACAGGCCTCTCTGGGCAAGCAAAAGCCAGAAAGGAAATACCCCACAGAGGAGAAATCAGCAAAGAATGTCAAGCTTCGAGGAAGGATCCTGCTCAGAGGGAGGCACTGAGAAACAAAGCTTAAGCTTCTTGTGAGTACCCAGGCATTAACTCATTGCAAAGTAAACATTTGTCTTTTAATCGATAGCAGAGTAAGGCTCTCCACAAGTCACTGTTCCTAAACTACACAAAGGAGCTTGGCAATCCTTTTTAAACGAAGCTGGTCTGCTTGTTTAAACTCATCAGGAAGGGGGGGAAAAGACAAGTCTAGGTGACTATTAAGACAGTCTTCAAAGATAAAATTGCTTCCTAACCAGCTCTCTGCTGCGGACTACCCATAAAGAGCAATTAACTCCCTTAACTCTGGAGTTAAACACCTTGAGGCTCTTCAGGAGGAGAGAGGTAGCATAACCTGGAAAAACAGGGGGAGTTCTTCAGCAATAATCTGCTCTTTGCCCTGATCAGTCAACTTCCTGGATATGCTCCCCACCTAACGCATTGGATCACTCCGGAAAATCGGCGCTTTAAGAATAGTTACACAGCTGAAGACCGTACCAAACGTCCAGCACTGCAAATTCCAACGGGCAAGAGTTGATTACTAGAAGCCAAGACGGTCTGTGCAGCTGAAGCCACACTTAGAGCGTACTGCAGAACAAGAGTAACGTTGCTTAGAGGCCTTTGCACCAGCTGCTTTTCCTACCCCAGTTCTGCTCTGTGCGCTAATTAGGTTGAAAATAATCAAACAAACACTTCAGGTTGGCAAGCTCCCATTCCAGCAGGCTTTAAGAGAACATTTGCCCTTCCTGCAAGCCGTAAGGTGGATTTTATTTTGCTCCACCTCTAAAGTTGTGTGTTGCTAGCGCCCACAGGATGATCCTTGCTGCTTTCTTCCCTTCAGCAGGTAAAAAGCAGGCCTTGATCCAATCCATAGTCTACCAATGTATCATTAATTTCTAGCATGAACTTTTCCTCTTCTCCATTAACAGCAATGATTGGGGTTGGGGGGAAGGCATCCAAGCTCTTTTTAAGAAGAATACAGATATTTTCTAGGCTTTTTTTTTTCCAGTTGCAGTGCTACAGTAACAGGGCCATCAATATATATCACTTACTGCAAGTTGAAAAAGCAATCTACAGTGCCAGTACGGAGTCTGCTGTGAAATCTGAATGGCTTTGCGCAACAGAGGTTTTGCTGTATCCACTGAATTCTGAAAGAGAAACACACACCCGAGTCAACATAAAAAACAGGCTACGAGGAACTTCATCACTAACAATAACAACTTGTAACGTAGCTGTGTTCTGTGTTGACCCCCCAGTGAAGTCCCATAGGTCAGGAACCTCGAAACGTGAAAAGCAACAAACCCAAGTATTTAACCCGCAGGCCCACATATCTACGCTGGACTCAAAGTTTGTTCAAGTGTAGGAGCTCTTTAACTCCTGGTATTTAACTCCTGTCAGCAACAAACCCAAGTATTTAGCCCGCAGGCCCACAGGAGCTCTTTAACTCCTGGTATTTAACTCCTGTAACACTATTCCAATATGCACATCTATCCTGCAAGTGAGAGAAAAGGCAAACATTTGCTTTAGTGAAAGTAACGGCTAGTTAAGGCTTTTCTGGAGAAAAAGTATTAAAATAGCCTAGAAACACAACAAAAGCCTGAGGAAAAACATCTACTTCCCTCCCCCCCCCAAATTTGCCTGTCTTTGTCTAGATGAGGGCTAAAGAAATACTTTGGCCGAGTAAACTTCCTTTGTCACAGAAGACCTGCATTGCAACTCCAGCAGCAACTTTCACAATGAGAAAGACCAAAAGTCTTTCAGGCTTACGCCTTAATATTCTATATTTGCATTGCAGCTGACCTCTAAAAATTTCCTAAATCCTATTATTAATAGCACTATGCTACTCTGACACCAAAGACACTCAAATTAAACGCAGCCCTGGGACAAGCAACAATTCCTGAAGTAGTCTCTACGCACTCACCTCCTGACAATACAGCTCGGACAGAAGGCTGGCTGCCTCAAACTTAACATCTTCAAACTGGGGAATCTAGCAGCATCAGAGTTAAGGAAATATTAAACACTGGCTGGAACGAAGCAACACCCCGACATCAAAAAAACCCTTTACACAACGCGTATGTTAGGAAAGCAGCCCACCAACCACGGAAGTAGATTACAAATACCAGCTACATCCCCATCCCCAGGGCCAGGCTCTCTCTGGGGAGGTGTTTTGGTATCGGAGCCCTCACTGCAGGAGCGAGGCGGCCGGGCAGCGACGCTCCTCGCCCGGGCGGCCAGGAAAAGGATACTTGCTGGGATATCAACCACTGCAAGAGAAGACAGCAAGTTAGTCTGCAGCCACC